ATATCTTGGCTATTGTAAACAGAGCTGTGATGAACATGGGAGTGCAGGTATCCCTTTGACAAGATGATTTTCATTCCTCTGGGTATGTACCCAGATGTACATTGCATTTCCCTGATGACTAGTGATGTTGAGCATTTTTTCATGTACCTGTTGGCCATTTGTATGTCTTCCTTTGAAAATTGTCTATTCAGCTCCTTTGCCAATTTTTTAATTGGGTTATTTGTTTTTTTACTGTGTAATTGCTTGAGTTCCTTGTATATTATGGATATATTAATCCCTCGTCAGATGAACAGTTAGCAAAAATTTTCTCCCACTCTGTAGGCTGTCATTTCACTCTGTTGATGGTTTCCTTTGCTGTGCAGAAGCTTTTTAGTTTGATATAGTCCCATTTGTTTAGTTTTTCTTTTGCTGCCTGTGCTTTCAGGCTCATGTTTATAAAGTCTGTGCCCAGAACTAGTTCCTGAAGTTTTTCACCTACATTTGCCCTTAGTAATTTTACAGCTTCAGGTCTTATACTTAAGTCTTTAATACATTTTGAGTTGATTTTAGTATATGGTGAGAAGTGCATATCCAGTTTCATTCTGCATATGGATATCCAATTTTCCTAGCACCACTTGTTAAAGAGGCAGTCTTTTCCCTAGTGTAGGTTTTTGTTGCCTTTGTCCAATATCAGGTGGCTGTAAGCCTGAGGAGTGATTTCTAGGTTCTCAATTCTGTTCCCCTGGTCTGAGTGTCTATTTTTATGCCAGTACCATGCTGTTTTGGTTACAACTGCTTTGTAGTACAATTTGAAGTCATGTAGTGTTATGCCTCTGGCTTTACTTTTTTTGCTCAGGATTGCTTTGGCTGTTCAGGGTCTTTTGTTGCTTCATATTAAAGTTAAGATTGTTTTTGCCATTTCTGTGAAGAATGACATCGGTATTTTGATGGGGATTGCTTTGAATTTGTAGATCACTTTGGGTAGTATAAACATTTTCACAATGTTAATTCTTCCGATCCAAGAGCACAGAACATCTTTCCATCATTTTGTGTCTTCCTTAATTTCTTTCAGAAGTGGTTTTTAGTTCTCATTGCAGAGATCTTTCACCTTCTTTGTTAAATTGATCCCTAGGTATTTTTTTTTTCATGACAATTGTAAATGGGCTTACTTTCTTGATTCCTCTTTCTGTTAGTTCACTATTAGAGTATATAAGTGCAACTGATTCGGGAGCATTTATTTTGTATCCTGCAATGTTACTGAAGTTATTAACGAGCTCTAGGAGTTTTTTGATAGAGTCTTTAGGTTTTTCTATATATAGTATCATGTCATCTGCAAAAGAGACAGTTTGTCTTCATCTTTTCCAATCTGGATTCCCTTTATTTCTTTCTCTTGCCTGATTGCTCTTGCTAGTACCAAGAGGAGACAGAAAACCTGAACAGACCAATAACAAGTGATGAGATTAAAGTGGAAATCAGCAATCTTCCAACAAAGAAAAGTCCGGGTCTGGATGGCTTTACAACTGAATTCTATCAAACTTTTAAAGAGGAATTAATACCAATTCTCCTCTAACCATTCCAAAAAATTGAAACAGTAGCTGCTCTCCCAAACTCATTCTATGAGGCCAACATAAATCTGATACCAAAACCAGGTAAAGACACAACAATAAAAGAAAATTACAGGCCAATATTCTTCATGAACATAGATGCAAAAATCCTCAACAAAATACTAGCAATCACAATACAGCAACACATTAAAAAAATTATACACCATGATCAAATGGGATTCATCCCAGGGATGCAAGAATGGTTCAACACACGAAAGTCAGTAAATGTGATACATCACATCAGCAAACTCAAGGACAAAGACCATATGATTATCTCAACAGATGTTTAAAAAGCATTTGACAAAATTCAACATCCCTTCATGATAAAGACTCTCGGCAAATTAGGTATAGAAGGAAAATATCTCAACACAATAAAATCCATTTATGATAAGCCCACCACAAGTATCATTCTGAATGGAGAAACCTGAGGGCCTTTCCCTTAAGAACAGGAACAAGACAAGGATGCCTACTCTCACCACTTCTATCTAACATTGTACTGGAGGCTGCAGTTTCTAAAACAACTTAGTCTTCCAACAGATGAGAGCAGTGTTTCCTCAAAGGCTGGTTAGGTGATAATGGAGCACACAAAGGTCTGAGAACCACAGATCAATAGCATAGTCATAGAGTGAGCTGTTAAAGCAATAGCAAATGCTAACAAATGCTGAGCTATGTGCCAGGCACTACTCTAATCTCTTTATGTGGGGTGTCTCATTTTATCCTCCTATAACTCTGCAAGTGAGAAACTGTTGTTACTTTTATTTTACAGGTGATAAAACAAAGGGACACATTTGGGGAATGAAAGAATTGAAATTAAAACACAGGAAGTTTGACTAGAAGCTTTATGCCTTCTGAACTTTCACTGTTGATAGTGAAGACCTAATTACTTCTGTGTTTTGCATGTTGAAAATGATATTTTGGTATGAATGTAATATGTTTCAGATTATGAGTGTTTGCCTATTGAACCAAATGTCTGTGTATGATATCCTCTGGAAATGATAAAGCACTCTAATAATGAGGACCCTGAGGATTTGATCCTTCACAAAATGTCCTCTTATCCTATCGCTTTTGAAGAACTGTCTGACCTAATTCTGACCTGCCTTCAATTAATTAATATATCTATAAAATAATTACATTGTTTCTTTTCTCCCTCTGTCTCTCTCTATATACATAAATAATCATCATTGGCACATTATAAAGCAACTTTTTAATCCTAAGTATTGCATCTGCACACAGAGACAGTTTTTAGAGTGTCAACAATTAATCCATGAGTTGGTTTCAAAGAATAAGCACTCTGTTTTATTGTTCAGCAACACAGGTCAATTCTGGAAGTAGTTGTGGTTTTTCTTACACAGGCAACAATTTTATTAAGGAGGTTTCTCTCAAATGATGTCATCAAAATACCTTAGAGTTTAAGAATCACAGACCATTTAGTAACAGCAATTGGTGAGAGAGGGGACTGTTGGGGAAATAGGTTTTTGTATTTGAGTTGAAAATTTTCTTTCAAAAACAAATAGAAAGTTAGTAATAAGAACTAGTCCTTTTAAAGTCTTCTTAGTAACATCAGACTTGATCTACACTACTGACCTCTTCCTGATCCCAGACAATGCTAAAAGTTTATGAAACAACAGGTTAAAATTAGAAGACAAAGTGGGATACAACCTCAAGGATTATTAATGGAAACTACTGTCATTATTTAGGTCCCCCTGGTTTTAGTTTTCTTCTCAACTCCTTCCCATCACAAACACACACAGACACAACAGGTGGAAAACCAGCTCATTCTTTATTTTTCATTTGTTTAAACCAATGAATATTCTGCCTCAGGAGCCAGAACATGCTGCCTTATATAACTAAGGTAAGAGTGTGTGTGCGTGCGTGTGTGTGTGTGCGTGCGTGTGTGTGTGTGTGTGTGTTATGTGCTATTCTGGGACAGAGAAGGGGGCAAGTAGAAATCCCGAAGGGCTATGGTAAGAAGGCAGAGTTGCTACCTCCCTTTCAAAGCTACGTCTGGAAAAGGGGGTGGGGACTATACCAACACATCACCACCCCGCATGCCATTCTCACACACGGATGCTTCTCCGTCATGTTCTCTGGGAAATTTCCCCAAGATTAGGAAAAGGACGGTAGCGCGGGTCTGCTTCGTAAGGCGAGTTTTTACCACTGCAACACAAAGAACAGCGGAGCGCGCTTTCACATCGTCGCAACTCCACTCACTTGACCAGCCCTACACTTCAGCACCACGGAGAGCGTCACCTCCTCGGCTACCACCCATGGGGAGCCAGATTCTCGCGACTCAGCACCGGATCCCGGTCCACTAGAGGAGGGACGAGCCTGCGTATTTTACCCTCAATGTAAGCAGCTGTAATGATTCTTTTATATTGATTTTTCCATCACCTCCTCGGCTACCACCCATGGGGAGCCAGATTCTCGCGACTCAGCACCGGATCCCGGTCCACTAGAGGAGGGACAAGCCTGCGTATTTTACCCTCAATGTAAGCAGCTGTAATGATTCTTTTATATTGATTTTTCCAGTAGAGGTTGTTTTCTTGCTGAAATATGGAATTAAACTTTTATTTATTAGCTCTCTCCCCGTACAGCATTGCTTAGATTTTTAGGTGTTTAAGTCTGGATCTGAGATCTTTCTTATTTGTTGAGTTGGTAGGGAAATTTCTTTTTCTTTTATTGAAAGTCTAAGTTTACAAAACCATTTAAAAATAGACAACTCATTTGGTAGCCTAGTCCTTTTGTGCTGGAATAGTATACTTTTATTCCTAGAAGAGTATGTGTGTTGTCTCTTCTTATTACTGAGAGCTTTCTAATTTGCTGCTTTTGTGGTTGTATTTACATTAATATAAATATGGGGATGAGAGGAGGAAGGTGGCTGTATTCTAATAAGTAGCCACCATTAAAAAACTAATGGTGGCAAAAAGAGATTGTTATTTTTCTTTTTTCTTGTTGAAAGTACGGTCCGAGCTCTACGTATCCTATAAATACCCATTTCAAAATAACAAATATGCTCTTAATAAAAGAGATGTAATCTAGGTAGGGCTTTGAGATGAGCTTTGAAACTCTAGATCACAGAATCTCCCCTTTAAGTCTGAAGTTGTAAACTCACTTATGTATGAGTGAGTAAACATAATCAAGACGTTATTGCCATTAATTGTAATTTAAAGGCTTAATGTATTCATGGTAAATTTGAAAGAGGCAATAGTGATTGACCCTGTCGGGTGGGACTCAGTGAATTTTTGCCTCAGAATGCCACCTGCTGGTGGGTTCTATTTCTGAAGCACTGGGCACACATCGGTTTTATGAATGAACTCACATTAAATCCAGAATATTCATTATGGATATGATGCATATCTACTCTCTAAAATCTTTTTAATGATGACATTTATTCAATTATTTAACAACTTACCAAGGTTCTATGTTACAATTATAATTTCATAAACATCTATTTCCAAAAACCTTGCTCCTAAGCTTAGGAGCATGTAGACTAGCTAACTCCTTTAGGCAGTAATTAACCCAGAAAAAATCAGAACTATGTGGATCCTCATTGAGGCTAATTTCAGAATACATGTGGTATCTTAGATGAGAACTACCAGGAGCTCTTGCTTAGTAAAAGCAATCAACATTTTCCCCCAGATAAATATTTAGCATGTTACTTTTTTCCAGTATTTTTGTTTTACAATTTAAAGATCTCTCTTACTTTCCTAGTAGTAAATGTTCATTTCAGACTCTTTTATCACAGAAGTCAATGAAACCATCAATAGGTTACATATATCTACTATTCCAAGACAATTCTTTTTTTAAAATTTAACTATTTTTTAAAATAGTTACATTTAATAGGAGTAGTAGTAATCTTTTTTTAAAAAAAATGTAGCTGAACTTGCCATTTCAGCTCTAACTGTAGCTATATACAATGAGATATAAACATCCAGTTTTATAACTCCCCAGTTACAAATAGGCAAATAAAGATCTTAAAAGTAAGAAGAAAAAGAAGCACACACAAAGCACTAGTCATATTTTAATAATTAATACATGGGGTACCTTGAAAATATTGAGAACAATCTCTTCTTAAATGATGTTATTTGGTGTAAAATAAATTACTAATATAATCATTATTAACATTCATAAACACTAGATAATATTTTTCACACCAAGATGCAATGGACAAACTATCCTACATTAGTGGAATTGTTTGGAAAGTACATCCTACTATAACATATCATAATGAATAGCAGAGCGATATTTTGCTTGTTTCCTGTAGGATCTGACTAGTAAGGTGTATGAACTATGCATACTGCAAGGTAATTAGGTGGGCATCTTTTTCTTTTATTCAAAATATATATGTGGTACAAAGCAAGTTATTGTCTCTAGCTTAAGTGGAAACTTGAGTGCCTTAGACCCACAATTAATATAATTGAAATAAACTAAATCAGACTTAAAAATATCCAGTGTCACTAGAGCACTTACTAGGAACTGATAAGTAATTTATATGAATTATCTCACCTCAGCCACAGAATAAGGAAGGTGATATTTAGAAATAAGTTAAATGTCTTTGGAATTATGTAAAGTTTTTCAGGAGTATTTTGAAGAAGTGGAAATACCTCAATTTTCTCCCTCAGTCACTCAAGAGACTTACTATATCCTCTGCTATTAGCTGTCTTACTGAGCAACTTATGGGCCATCATTTATAATGGACCTAATTGGAAGCTGGTTTTACTTTGAAACTCATGCCTTATATTAAAAATTGTCAGTCAGAAATAGAAAATAGTAGTTATAAGAATATATAGCTCTTGTATTTGTAAGAAGGAGGATGCTGGTAAACATGAACACCTCGATTTTATTGGTCTTCTTAAACGACCAACCCAGATCAAGTATTTGAGAGTCCTTAAATTAAGTTATTAGACCATGCACTATATCCCAGGCATCAGGATACTGGGCACCAGGTGCATATGCCACATAAACAAGTAATTCTTCTGCCCTCAAGGATCTTGAACTCTAATGGAAAAAGTTACAGTCTAAAGAAACTTAGAAAAAATGCAGGAGAAAGCATAGTTTTCATCAGACAGACTAGATTCCTAATGGTGGGTCCACCACTCACAAGTTGTGTAGCTTGGGAAAAGTGGGTAATTTATTTGATCCTCGTTTCATCATCTATTCAATGGGAATAACAATAGCACCTAAATCATGTAGTAGTTTATGAACATTTAAAATGATAATGCCTATAAAGCACTCAGCACAGTGGCTGGCACATGGTTAATGTGTAGTAAATGTTCATTATGATTAAATAGTCATTTAGGAAAATAGCCAAGCTTATCAGATGATAATTTATTTAAAACAATAATTCATATAAAGCACTTAGCACACTGTCTGGCACATGGTAAATGTGTAATATATGTTAACTATCACTATCATATAGTCATTTAGAAAAATAGATAAGCTGAGTATTTCAGTGTAGAGTAAAATGTGAGCCAGTTTAAGTAATTGTGTACTTAACTGTATTGATATGTAAGATTTCGATCATTTTTGTCGTGACATTTTATAAGTCTTTATAGTATCAGGGCATTTAGTATACATTATTTAATCTCCACTGTGGTCCTGAGGAATGTGAGGGATGAATTTTATGACTCCCTTTATGTTGGTAAAGGAATTGAGGTTTAGGAGAAGACCCCAAATCACTTGACAATTTCATCACTGTTGCTCTGGACCAAAACTAAGAATATGTTCACTTGGGAAAGGACACACAGACCGGGACTGGGTTTTCCTAGGTGTCTGATCTCACTGCTAGATTTCGTTTGGTGCTACATCCAGTTGGGAAATGGTACAGACTGAATTGATTTCAAGCTTGCATAATTTCCACAGAGATGATTTTTGATACATGTAGCAATTTTAGAAAAAAGACAACAAATATCTCTAAAAAACATTTTGATCAAGTGGCCTTTTCCTCATCAGTAATAAACCACAATCCCTGCCCCCAAAAGGCTTATGGTCATGCTCATTTGTAGCTGGACTTAGGGTGCAAGATTCATACTTTTCATAGATCACTGATATGTGGCTTCCTTCATACTGGCTGATGCATCTGTAAGATCAGCCTGATAAAAATAGCAACCAAGGGATCAAGAGGGAGTTTAATAATCATCATTCCTCCTCTCATATATGGTTTTGTTTCCACTGGAACCCTTCTTCCCAATGACATCAAATGTCAATGTATGCATTTCTGGAAAATGAAAAACACAGTATCTTAATTGAGGTGTTTGATGAGTTTGATCACTCATTATCTCTATAACATATGCAAATAAAAATGCATTTGCATTTGAAGTTCACTTTTAAGAAAAATACTAAAGTAAGAGCTTCTAAATGCCAATTGCATTTTAGAGAAAATCATTTTGCTCAATATCGGCCTAAAACTATGAAAGATCACCAGAGCCCAGCAGGGCAACACATCTGATTCATGAGTGTAAGCTTTGGCCCCCAGTTATTGTGGGTCACATAACTCTATCCTTCTGACATGTTATCTTTTGTGGGTTTTTTCTAACCCATGTGACAGGTATGCGCAAAGCATGAATATTTGTAATATCAAGAATAAATGGCAAGAATGAGGTTGCTAAATACATTCATCAGTGCATAAATGTTTAAAAAGCATCATTAGAGGGATATCAAAGTAGAAGGAAGTCAGAGCTAATAAGAAGCCCACAGTGAGGTTAAAAGGCCTCCATCAATTATCTGTATCAGTTCATATGGCTCAAGGGTCTGCTGTGAAGCCCCTCGTGTTGGAAGCAATCTCACTGAGTAGAAGGCTCATGAGGTTTCATCTGCAATGAAAAGGAGCAGAATTGACAATTTTGTGAGCAACCAAATGTATCTCAAAGCTGAGGTTTTAAAGGCTGTGAAAGAGAGGCTTGTTTATTTCTTATAACATCTTGGTGTCTGCTTTCAAGGTCATTCAGAAAATGTACATCAACTGGTAAAAGCACTTTAACTTCTTAAGTAAGTACCAGACACATACATAGATTTTTCTTTGAGAAAATGTAATTATTATAAGAATGTCAAGATTTATACTATACCCTAACCTTGTGCAGAAATTATTTGCCTTAAGGTTTAGTCTTTTTACTTCACCTGCCTCAGTTTCTTCACCTACAAGGTGAGACTGCTAATACATTGCTTTTTATGTTTGGTTTTGTTTTTGTCTTTTAGTGAGAAAAATGAATAATGCTTGAACATCCCTTAAGTTTGTAAACTGCAGCATCTATGATATTCACATGGACTCTGAATTTAGACTGGGTACTTATGTGTTCCTTGCGAAATGTCCTCTGCTCTGACTTGGTTTAGAGGTTATTATATTTCTTTTGAATTAATCTCCATGGATTGTTGCTGTGTAATACTTGTGTAACCCTGACCTTGTAGACTGACCTGTTCTCCCTCTTGAGCAGACCTCTAATGGAAAAGTGAGGTGGAATCAAGCTGTAGTGCCAGCTTCTTCTAGAACAGCTACTGTTTCATATCTAACAAACTGCTCAGATGCTCTTGAGTGGAAACTGCTTTTTTCAGGTTGAATTGTGATGGCTAAGTCCAGAGAGGTTCTCCTGAGAGGAGTAGAAGCTTATTGCAAGATAGGCTGAGTAATTCCATAAGAAAGATTATGAGTCTTCTGTGGGCTCAACTTCTACCTGTGAGTGTGTGCCAAGACAGGGGATGCTCATTACATCCCCTGAAACCGAACCTTGGGGAATATACATGGGGTGACTGTATAGCTTTCAACTCAGTCATCTCTCTCCTTCTGAAAAACTTATAATAATAAATGCCTGCACACTATTTGTGAATTCCTCTCTCCTGTAAAGGGATTCCCAATCTATGGTCTGCCTTTGGTACCAACAAGCAGCCTCTCTCCCTGGAATAATGACATTATTGAAAGAAATGGGCTCAGAAGGAGCTTATAAATTTGAATCCTGATGATCTTTTCCCCAGCAATCTTTCATCAAAATGCACTTTATAAAAGTGGATGGCAGTTCAAATGCTCTTCCTAAAGGAGGGCAGAGCTCTCTATTAGGGTTTATCACCCACAGTTGCCTTCTGAAGGAGTTTCCCATAATTATTCTTTATAATTTTTGCAGATGAAGAAGCTACCCCACTGTATAGGTTAGCAACTTTCCCAAGGGAAGTGTGACTCAGCTCCAGGCAGGATTAGAATACCAACCTCTGACCTCCAGTCTCTGCTTTATCCCAGAGATAGAGCCCCCCAAGGGGCTAAAACCAAAGAAGTTTGAACAGGTCAAAAAGTAAAATGAGTAGAAACCTAAATGGAGCCCAAAATTCAAAAGTTCAAAAGAATAATTGAAATGACTTTAAAAATCTCAGAACAGTAGGTTTAATTTAAAAGCCTTCCTCTGTGATTACTTTTGTTTGCTTATTTTTAAATGTGGTTTAAATGAAATGCTGAGTATTTTTTATGCATGGAGACATAACCAATAACAAAAAGACAATTCTCTGGGACTATAAAAAATAGTTAAAACAAACAACCCTCCAAGTACTTACTCTTTAGAACAGATATGCTCTTGCTAAAATTTATGCTATTCTAATATTATTTGAATAGTGTAAGTGGGGGTAGATTAGAAAAGGAAAATGGAAAATACAGGTAAGACCAACTGGAGAAACAGAAAAGTATAAGATGTCCAAGTTGGTAGAGGCTTTGGAAGGTCTGGTTCATCCTCTCTGTTCTACAATTTTCTGAGAACTAGAAGCTGGGCACCTGCTAAAGATCTGAAGGCTAGCTGGAGGATTTGAGCTCCTGACTTGAGCTCAAATTACACAATAGCTGTTATTGTCTCTAGACTGCCATTTTAAAACTGTGGCAAGCAAAGGTTAGGTAACTTGTCCAAAGTCACAAGGCTGGCAAAAAGGTGAGGCAGGACTTCTGCTCTCAGCCTGCTGACTTCCAAGCCTGCCTTTCATCTCTCTTCTCTCAGTAGGTTCATCTGAGAAGAGGATAATGAAGGTTTGATGCAAAAATTAGACAAGTTAATATATGTGAAGCTCTTAGTATAATGCCTGGCATATAATAGGTACTTAATAAATGTTAACTGCTATTATCATTAGTGTTAGTATTAATCTCTACACTATGCCCCAATGGTAAAGAGCAACAAGCTAGAAGTGAATTCAGCCTGTAAGCTGACCTATTTCTTTCATCCATATAAAAATTCGGTTTCAGTCTTAAGAAGCTACAACTGAACTCCCTCAGGAAGGCTGCTTCAGCAGCCATCAGCAAGTGGCAGTGACTCTAGTCCTGCTCCCTGCCACATCTTGCCCTTGAGTAGGTGTATAAGCTGCATGGGGAGCAGAAAGCATGGTCCCTACAGAGAATAGTATGAAATGTAGAAAGACGTGTGTGGTCATGCTTGCATGTCGCTGCAGTTCTGCCGTAGTGTGGGGGCCCATCGAGAGCAATACAGCTGAACCAAAGGCAGCAGTATCCCTGGCCACCAGCTCTGTGGCATTGCTCCTGGGGAACTGGGCATATCAAGAGATGGGAGGGGATGGAATAAAACCAACATTGACCGAGTACTTTCTACATGCATGTGACCTCTTTTAATCCCCCATGTACCCTGTGGAACACAAAAAGTTACCCACACCGTGCAGGCCAGAAAACTAAAGCACAAAGGGGTTAAGTGACTTGCTCATACCTACAGAAGCATAAATAAAACAGACAGCCCTCTCGCTGATCCAGCCACACCACTCCCCATACCTCCACCTCCCCTGACGCTCCACCCGGACCCACCCGTGAGCTCTCCTACACCCAAGCGGTATAAAGTCAGTATTCTCCCATTTGAAAAAATAGTTCAGGTATACCAATTTGTCTTTTTTATTATTGTTATTGAAACAAAAATGATTGTGCATATCTGCGGGGTACAGCGTTGAATATCAATACCTGTGTGCAATGCATGATGCTCAAATCAGGATCATTAGTATATCCAACACTATACAAGGTAATCATTTTTTATGGCCCTTTACCAATTTCTCACCAACCCGCCTTCACTGTCCCCCTTTCCTATTTGGTGGTCTCAGTTCTGTTCTTCCAACTAATTATTGTGACTGATTAAGACAATGATTTCTGATAAGATTTCATAATTTCTCATAAGATCCCAGTCGTGATATTCTTTGTCTCAACGGCTTTTGTTTGCCCTGCCCCCGGGGAATCCGCAGGCCCCGGGAAAAGTAACCGAGCATCTTTGCCTTGTTGCCACACAGGTTGGGGAGCAGCACCTTCAAAAACATGCAGCGCCGGCACACGACGCTGAGGGAGAAGGGTCGCCGCCAGGCCATCCGCGGTCCCGCCTACATGTTCAACGAGAAGGGCACCAGCCTGACGCCCGAGGAGGAGCGCTTCCTGGACTCGGCTGAGTATGGCAACATCCCGGTGGTCAGGAAAATGCTGGAGGAGTCCAAGACCCTCAATTTCAACTGCGTGGACTACATGGGGCAGAACGCGCTGCAGCTGGCCGTGGGCAACGAGCACTTGGAGGTCACGGAGCTGCTGCTCAAGAAGGAGAACCTGGCGCGGGTGGGGGACGCGCTGCTGCTGGCCATCAGCAAGGGCTACGTGCGCATCGTGGAGGCCATCCTCAACCACCCGGCCTTCGCTCAGGGCCAGCGCCTGACGCTCAGCCCTCTGGAGCAGGAGCTGCGCGACGACGACTTCTACGCCTACGACGAGGACGGCACGCGCTTCTCCCACGACATCACGCCCATCATCCTGGCGGCCCACTGCCAGGAGTACGAGATCGTGCACATCCTGCTGCTCAAGGGCGCACGCATCGAGCGGCCCCATGACTACTTCTGCAAGTGCAGCGAGTGCACCGAGAAGCAGCGGAAGGACTCCTTCAGCCACTCGCGCTCCCGCATGAACGCCTACAAAGGACTGGCGAGTGCCGCCTACCTGTCCCTGTCCAGCGAAGATCCTGTCCTCACAGCGCTGGAGCTGAGCAACGAGTTAGCCCGGCTGGCCAACATTGAGACTGAATTCAAGGTAACGCCCTCTCACCACCCTGCAGGCAGACTGACCAAGGGGCTCGTCCACGTGCGTTCCGCAGCAAAGGGGGTTGTCTGCTGCTCTAAGAAAGCGTGGAGGCCTCGGGGTCTTGCTGTTCAGGGTCACGGGGAGGAAGGGTGACATCTCACTTGTGTCAGGTGTAGGGAAAAGCAGCTCGTTAGATGGAAGATTTTAAACTACGTAAATGTGGTAAATGGGTGACTTAAGCACAACTCTGCACGGTAAAAGACAAGCAACTGGCAGGCAGGATTATATCGTGGCTCTGGTGTGAACGCCTCCGCTCTGCCCCAGGAGGCCCAGGAGTATCAGAATATCTAATCACCTGTGCTTATTTCCCAGTCTAGGGCCTAGGCTTCTTGATTGCTTCACCTGCATGGTTTTGATTCATCTTGTTCACATCTCTGTCTTATCATATACTGTGCTGATCTTAGATTCAGTCTCATTCTAATGCTAGGAATATTTGGCTGCAGCTTTTCTTAGACCTAGCAAGCTATTGCTATTGTCCTGGTAATGGGCTGAGGAGGAGGTACATGAAAATGAAAACTGTCTCTGTAGAGTTGGGTTTGTCACCCCCATAGATGGGCCCGGGGCAAAGCCCTATAATTCAGCTACCTTGAGAACTCCTTGACCTACCAGGCTACCCCACAAAATGCAGACCCATCTCCAAAGTCCATTATTCTATAGCGGTCTCGTGCTTTTACTGTCAACTTGCAGTTCCCCTGAAAGAGAAGACTGGGATCTAATGTAGGACTTCTTTTGACACAATGTTTAACAATGATAAGTGCAAACACAGTGGGTGTTTATTGTACCAAGCACTAAATGCTTTACCTATATGATCTTATTTAATCCCCTCAACAACCATATGACATGAGTACTATTATTATCCCCATTTTATATGAGGGCATAGAGGTAGAGAGAATAAGCAGCAAAACCATTGTTCTAATCTAGGCCCTAAGACCCCAGAGTCAACTCGAAGCCACTCTGGGAAACTGAGAGTCAAAGGCCTTGTTTATGTATTGAGTTTCTCAGAGTCTCACTTGTCTTTATCTGCATGATGAAGGGATTCCCCAGTGCAGCAGGTATGGCCGGGGGAGTAGGAAACACCACGAGGCTCAGTTTTCTCATCTTGCCATTCAATCCGAGACTATTATGTGTTAGATGCCAAGCAAAATACAAGGAGGTGCTGCACACAGGGCTGGCTATTGAGCTGAGAAAAGATGTCACCTGCAAGTTAAATTTTCATTATCCAAACAAGATGTCAGTGCAAGAGCTGCCCCTGCATGGGGCACAGTTAGGTGGCCAAGGATGGGTACCAACTCATAGCAAAGGATGCCCCCGGGACTTGTTATTCAGGCAAATCTCAAAGGAGGAGATGGAATTGGGTTGGGCCTTACTGAGCAGGAGAATTGGATCAGTGGGAAGAGAAAGGTGGGCACTTGGATAAGGCAAGTAACGGTGAGGCCTGAATGGCCCAGAGTGGGGAGGAGACAGCTGAGAAGCTCCATGTGATGCGAATGTAGACGTCCTGTAGTGACATGCATGAGGAATGCTGAAGAGACCAGTGGGGGCAGATCTCAGAGGGCCCTGCATGTCAGGCTGAGTGCTTTGAATGATATCCTGTAGGAAATGGAAAGCCACTAAAAGTTTGTGTTTAGGGTACTAACATGAAGAGAACTAGAGTTTTGGAAATTTACTTTCCTGGTAGGTAAGATGAATTGGAGGACTTGGACTGGGACTAATAAGGAGGACAATTTAGTTGTGCACATGTGAGGCCATGGCAGCCTCTCTGTAGGAACAGGCTTGTCCCACAAGCCAGGACAGAAAGGCCAGGCCAACAAGTCAAGGCCAACAGAAGGTTTTAGGTCACCACAAATTGTGAATAGTTGGAAATCATTTAATTAAGCTGATTTTATTCCATCTGTCCTCTCATCTCGGACCCATCCACTGAACTGGAGACATTTCCCTGAATCCTGCATTGTTCATGGCCTCATCTAAAACACTTGGTGGATGTAGATGTAGGGATTACCCAAAGAAGTTCCCAAGGAATGAGCTATTGCCTCTTCTTTCTTTCTTTGTGTGCAATAAACCTCACCTACCAATATTAAAGTCCAAGTATGTCCCAAAGAAGGTTGGTGGAACTTTGTTGTTCCCTGGTCTTCCGATCAATTCTGCACAGCCCATGTGAAAAAAATAGCTAAGCCAGTTAATTCAGATATCTCTGAATTAATTCAAGAAAAAAAAATATCTCAGGGAAAAAAATTAAGCAAAAAATGTTTTTTGGATCAGATTATCTGGCTAGTTGCACAACCCCCCATTTATCTCACATCCAGGAGAGTGCCAGCCTTACTAAATAAAGCAACACTAGACTAACACTTGGAAATACATCTGAGCCATTTACTAAACCCAAAAGTCTGGCATATTTTAGTATATACAATATCTAAAACTGGAAATTTCTTGAAAGCATCTACTATGATATTTTGATTTAAAAAGTAAATTATGAAAATTGAAGACAATTAAGAACACTACTAACATGATGACAAATCCTTTCTACAATGCAGTGATTTACTCAGAATAAGAGTCAATACATTTGCTGACTATTAACAGCCCCCTAGTTACCTTTGTTTGAAATAATGTCTTTCAGATTGTCGACGAATGGTGCATTATAAATTAACCTAACTGTTCCTTTAGAACTTTATTACTTATTCAACTATCCTTTTATGTGCATTACTGACATTATAAATTTTCACAGAGAAGAAAGCAGCTTAGCAGGAGAGAAGTCAAATTGTAATAAAGGAATAAAGAGCAAATGGATGTGTTCTAAAATGCACTCTTTACGAGTCTGTTCTGCTTTCAAGGGACTACATGTTGTTTCTTATTGCCACGTTAGAGAGATTACCTGATGTCACTGATTCTGTGAAAAAACTATCAAATTCTAATTGGAAATGTCATACGTCATCCTCCACATCCTCTGAAACACTCATTCTGGAAGTGACTCTCTTGGCTAGGAAACATCATCCATGAAAAAACTGAATTCAGTTGCTCAGGCTATTGTTTTTGGAGCCATTTTAAATTATTACCACAATAGAGTCTAGTTGTTAACAAGAAGTGTAGCCAATGCCAAGGTCTCCAGTAAATTCTGGCTGGAGTTAAATGCCTGCTAACAAGCCATTATTTTTGGTGTGAAAATATGTAGCTGTTCAAAGATTTTCTTATGTCTCTCTAATCTTGTATCTATAAAGATATTAAAATTTGATGTGATCACTGGGGCCTTCTCAGTGCCTTGAATGGTGCCCAGTAAACCAGTAAGTATGCTAGAAATACAGTCAGCCCTCCATACCTGTGGATGCAAACCAGAGCTGACTGTACTAGCCATTTTATGTAAGGAACTTGAGCATCTTCAGATTTTGGTACCCACAGTGGGTCCTGGAACCAATCCTTACAGATTCAGAGGGATGACTCTATTTAATGAGTAAATGAAAGAAATCCCAAAAGGATAATCATTTCAACTAAAGAAGCAAGTGATTGCTTGTATCTATTGTTTAAATTCTTCATTCACTTATGGATTTAACAGAGGCTTTGATGGACATGGTGAACTGCCAATGCTCTAGAGAAAGTTACAAGTTGTTTGGGGGATAAAACAAACACACATTAAACAACTGAGAACCAACATATGCTGCACTGTATGGTGTATGGAGGGCAAAGTATGTCTTCCTACTGTCTTACCTAAAGTATCTAAAATGGGGTTTGGGAGCACTGCCAACTAATGACATTTTTGTTGCTTGGTTTACCTGTGCAGTAGGAGCCAGAGAAAGGAAAGGCTGGTGTGAACTGAACTATTCGGAAGTGCCTCATCCTGGTGAAATGGGTTCTCTCAGTGTAGAGGCACCCAGAGTAGCAAGGAAAAATAAAGAATTTGTCTATCTCAGCTGGGTTATAGCTTCTGCCACCAAAAACACAATGAGGTCTCTGAATCACTCCTGAATTATTCTGTTTGGCTTTCTTCACTGATCATCCTTCTGGTAAAATTGCCTAGGGTCCCCTGTATTTTTTTGGTTTATTCCCAGTTGAATTCCTGTGCATTTTGTCTATGTGTGTTGTTTATCTGTGGAACTGTTGTTTCAAAATGATTAGAGCAGTTCATCTTCTTCCATCTCAGAGTTATGGTGGCAGCAATGCAGCGAGAGGATGTGGGAGAAAGAATGATGAGGGACTATTGTACAGTAAGGTGTAGGGCTTTGGAAGGAGACAGAAAACAGGAGGGGGTGGAGGTATCCCTCTTCCTCTCTCACCTTTTGCTGAAATTTAAAAGCATCCAGTGTTCTCAAGTCAGGGAACTGTGGAAGTCCAACAAACACATATCTCAGTTATTTCACGTTTGGTCATTCCGAAGAAAAGCAAAGTTACAACTGAGAAGGCTCTTCGTGTTGACAAAATGTCAGCATGGAGGCTGTTGATTGTGTTTCAGTCACAAGCAATTTATTCTTATAGACCTCAGAGGGCAAGAGTAGGGGAAAGAAAACTTAAGCTGTAACATCATCCTGCTTATAGTGTTAATGACTTTTCTGTTTATCAATGGGTTAACTGCATGTATTATGAAAAATAGATGATGAATTATGTATCAATGTTTGTGCTGTCATTTTAAGACTCATAAAAAACTCTCTGGGCCTAAAATACCACAAATTAAAAATGCAAATAATGATAAATCAGAACAATTTGCCACCTGCTATGATCTCTAGTGAGATCCCATTGTGGAAGGTAAAGATGTTGAAATGAGAGTTTGTAATCTGCTTGCAAACTCATCAGAACGGAAGAAGGAAGGGAGGAGGAGTGACTTTGTATTGTGGTACCCAGAGCTCAGAGCACATTTGAACTCTGGCTGTCTGGAGCCAGGGAGACAGGAAGCATGAGTAAAGACCCAGTTTGGGCCAGAAGCAGCACTAAAGGCTGAATAAGCCTGTTGCCTCGGGCCTCCGGTGTCTGTGCTGGTTTCTCACGTGCTTTGAATATTTTTAGGATTTTTGAATTTTATAGACCAACACCCTGGGAAAATAAATTTCCTTGAGGTTTGAAAGCTTGGCTGGTACTATAAACAAATGCCTGCTTAGCATGCAGGAAATGAC